GAAAGGAAGGAGGAAGAAAGCAAGAAAACACCCCTCACTCCACAGGGCATGGTCACACTGCAATCCCTTCTCCATTTTTCCCTCCTTTTTAAAGTATTTGGTGCATACACACACAGGCATCTGGCGACTTTCTCAAGAAATAAGAATCTGAGACTTGAACTGCACCACTGGCCATGTGGGATCCAGCCACCTTCACCACCAGGCCACCAGCTGGCTCACGACATTTTAACTATGACTTCGCAGTGGGATAACCAGGACACTTAAAAAGTCTCACATTTTGGACTATTTTGGGTTTTGGATTACAGATGCTTAATCTGTACTTGTGTCTCTTAAAAAGTTTGCTTTTGACAGCTGTCAGTCTGCTAGTTTTCAGGCATGACTTATTGTCCTGATTTTTGTGATAATGAGTACTTAGTTTCTTACCATCCACACACTCCTCCACTAGAGTGATGTCATTATTTTTAGTATCTCATTATTTCCATAATTTTTAAATCATACTTTTTCTAATGCCACTAGATAAGGTCTTTTAATTTAAGAGCCCTTACGGTTTAATACTGGCTTCTGAATTTGTTAGAACTGATAAAAACATTAAATGTATTTTCCAAAGGAGGTGTTGGCATTAAAACCCATTTGGGTCAGGTGGACCCAAAGTCGAACACTAATCTTAGGAAGTTGTAGGTTTGTTTTATTGGTTAAAAAATAATTATAAGGAATATATCCAAAACTGCTTGGCTCTTAGTACCAAATCTCTCAATGCCTGAGATGAGGTGACAAAATCTGTACAAAGTAATTTCATATCATGGTAGATGTTCTTTTGTATTCATTACAACTAGTGATGTTTCTTGAATTGGAATAACAACTTCTGTTCAACTCTTAAATGACATAAAATAAAAGTTGGCCGAAAAGCTCTGTTTTGTGGCATATTAGCAATAAATAATAGTAATAATAATAATTAGGTGAGAGAACTCATGAACCAATCTTTTTCTCAAATGGAGGAGAAACACCAAACAGGTCAGATGAAGGAGAGAGGGGCTTTGATATTGCATAATATTTTTAGATTGTCCAGAGTTAACAGTATACGATACCTATTGTGTAGTCCTGCTACAATAGAGCCCGGAAGAGCAGTTCCGTTGAAAGATTGTGTTCCTGCCTTGAGCCCCATTCTCATCGTGTTACCCTCTTCTTAGGTCATGCCTCAGCTGCTGGGCTGACAGCCTGGGCAGGAGTGTTGACTGGGGCACCCTGGCGGTCTTCACATGTGCTGACAGCTGTAGCCTGGGCACTGGCTACACGGAGGAATTTGTGTGGAAGCAGGATGTAACAGATGTACCGTAAAGACATCTTAAAGCCTCAAAAAAAGTCACTGTGTATCTTGCAGTTCCATTTAAGGGAATCATTACAACAGATACGGGGGTATAAAATGCTTCTTGAGGTATGGGTCACAATATCTAATTAGTAAAACAAAAATGCCCAGTGATAGGGAATTATTAAATTTTATTGCACACACAGTGGAAGGCTACACAGACATGATTGTACACACCTATGTGGACACTAAATAAGATGAATTTGACTTGACCAGGATACCATTGTGGGTAGTATTCATGATGTGACCATTGCTTTGTAAAAATATTTATGAATGTTTATGAGTATGAAAATAAACCTGGAAAGATGTGTGAACTAGTGAACTAGTTACCTGTGAATGGTGGGACTGGTAAAACAATCTTTTTATTTATGTGTACATCTTTTTTCATCGCTCCAGGGTGGGTGCACTTGGGGTGGGAGGTCATGCTGCAGTCTCTTCTCCATTTTTCTATCCCGTCAGGATTGGGGGACACACATGTACATGACCTGGCTTTTGGGGCAGGTTTTCCAAACCACTGAGACTGAGATTCAAACCCAAGTTGGCTGAGTGGGACCCAGCTCCCATAACCATTAGGCTATGGGCCATCCTGCTTACATGTATGTTTCTATTTGGGTATTATACCTAATTAAGTCAAACCACTTCAATAAAAGCAGAGCATTTTTTCCACTTAACAGGCAAAGTTAAAACAGAAAAATACTTCAGTAAAGTCCCCACAGACTGCTGTCTGATTACCAGTGGACTGTCCTGGGTGCTAGTGCACACTGGAAGCCCAGAGCAAGAAAAAGCCTGCATCTCATGGAGGTGGGTAAGGGTGAACAGGATGCCCAATGCTTCTGAAGCAACAGGACCATACTTGGCAGGATCCAGAAAAAAAGATGTGTGATCAGAAAAGCAAAATGTGAAAAGCCTACTTTGAAACTGACCCTCGTCAGCCAGCCAGCCCTGCTTGCAGATAAGATGGATAGCGAGAAGTGACAGCCTTTCCTGTCCTGCTCAGCCAGGTATACCTTCCCTAGCCTTTCACGGGGTTACTGGCAGCAGTCCAGGGGAGGCAGGCCCTGAGACCTACTGTCAAAGGTAGGATGTTTCTGACATGTTAAAGCAGGCAGCTCTTAACCAAGTTATGGTCCCTTCCAGCCTTGTCAGTTCAGTTATCAATTCCCAGTTCTCCAACTAAGGCAAACCCCAAGAGCTAATTCTGCTAACTCAGGCGCATGTCCTTAACCTACATTGGCTCTCATTCCCCTAACATATCCCTGCCGGCCACCATAAAGCTGCACCTCTTTCCCCTGGTCAGTGCCATTACTTCTCACCTCTCACTACCTGTGTATATCAGAAAATCCTGGCCTGTGAGTACATCACTTATGTGTACATGTATGTACATACAACCTACACTGATGGTGTACATGTAAGATACAGTTACACATATGAGGAAACCTCAGAGAACTTGCGGAAAATGGAGTTAAAGTATGAATTTTTGTGCAAAAATTTGAATTCCATTGCTTTTCACAATACATATTTCCTATGAACCCTAACTCTGAAGACCCCATGTAGCACCATATGGAAAACTCTAGTATGGAATTCCCATGGAGAGATTTGTTACTAAGTTACTTTAAAAAAATTTTAATGTCCACTTTTAATTATTTTCTAGTTTGCTCTAGGGCACGTGCTCACCAGAGACGAGAGAAAGCAAGTCGCCAGGTCCAGAATTCGAACTACAGTTGGCCATGTGGGAGTCCATCACCTTAACCATGCCACCTGCTGGCCCCTCTAGTTACTTTTTAAGAGGACCTAGAGTGGCTAAATCAACTAGAAGCACCTAGAATTATGCTGTTGCAGTCCTGGTTACCAGATCAACTAGTAGCAAGAACTGGTGGGTAGGAAGCACAGGATGGAAAACTAGACTAGTGAGACTTTCATATCCCAAATTATCAGTAACTCCTTATGTCATGCGAGTTCTGACTCCTAAGGACTTATCCCTTTGTCTTGTTACAGTAAAAGCAGCTATTGTGGCCTTCTTGGCAGGCATGGTACAACTCCCAATATCCCAGTCACCCTCTGGATGTGATCACAGACATTCACATTTCCATTTGAAAAACATGCCAGGCACATGTGCATGTGTGCTCATTCCCCACAGGAGGGAAGGAGGTGTTTTCTCTTTTTCACTCTCTAGTGGTATATGCACCCTCTGGCAAATTAAAAAAAAAAAAAAAAAAACCAGGACCAGCAGGTGGCATAATGGTTATGTCACTGGACTCCAATGTAAGTCAACCGTGGTTCAAATCTCGGACCTGGTAGCTTAAAACTCACACCAGGCACATGTGCGTACATGCCCAAGATCCCGAGAAAATGTAGAAGGGACTGAAGTCTAGCCATCCCCCTGGGGGATGATTTTTGGCTTTCTGTCTCTGTCCAGCAAGGGCATGCACCCTATGGCAAAAATCTCTTAAAAAAAAAAAAAAGAAGAAAAAGTCACCATTGGGCCTGCCTGTGGACTGCTGTAACACCCTACCACGCTGGAGCCTCCCAGGAAGACCGCAGGTTCGTTGCCTGGCTTCTGCATGCTAGGGCACACGCTAGACCGAGATCCAAGCTGGTTAAGGCTAGTGTGGATCTTGAGTGAGAACATGGTTGGAAGTGCCTGTCTCTGTCTCGTGGAATACATAAATGGATATTTTTAAAACTTTCCATCCTTTTGTAACCCACTAAGGAATGAACAGGTCTAGGAACTGCATACTAGTTTTCGATTTGCAGGACATACTAAGAACAGAGGGACACACTGAACTTCACCCTGAGTTTGCAATTAGCGAAAGCCACACTATGAGGGCTACAAACCCAGTGGCTTGTAGATCAGAAAGAAAAGACAAAGGGAGAACTTAAAAGATTAAAGCAGACGTTGAAACAGTTATTTTAGCCAGCTCTATTGTATGACCATCTCTGGGGCAAGGGGGAGGGGCAGCGTTTCTTACTTTCCTTCTCTTGCTCTCTCTAGTGAGCACATGCCCTATAGCAAAAACAAAAGGAAATGATATACATTAAAATCCTAGCAGCAGGGGCCGGCAGGTGGCATAGTGGTTAAAGCGCTGGACTTCAAGATGGTCAACCACGGTTCAAGTCCTGGACCTGGCAGCTTGAAACTCATGCTGGACGCCTGTGTGTGAGTGTCCAAGATCCCAACAGGAGAATGGAGAAGGGATTGCTACATGGCCATCCCCCCAGAGGGTGATTTCTTGTTTTCTGTCTCTTTGGCAAGCACACACACCCCATAGCAAAGAGAAAAAAAAAAATCCTAGCTGCAGGGCCAGAAGGTGGTTAAAGCACTGGACCCCACATGGTCAATAGCTGTGGGGTACAATTCCCAGACCTGGTGGACGGAAAACCATGCAGGTGAGTGAGTGTACAAACCTGCCCAAAATTCCAAGGAGTGAAGGAGATAGAACTGTGGCATGGTCATCCCCCCCAGGAGGTGATTTCTCACTTTCCTCCTCCCTCTCTCTGGTGAGCACACATGCCCTAAAACAAAAGAGAAAAAAAAAAAATCCTAGCTGAAGAGATAGGGAAAATAAATATTGATAAGAAAAAGATGAAATTATAATTTATGGATGATCACATACCAAGAACTTTCAACATAATCAACTAAAGAATCAACAGCAATAAGAGTTAAGTAAACTGGAAATAAGCTAAATACATTAATAATAGTTCATTTCAAGTATAAAAATTCTATAAATAAAACAATAAACCTCAATACACTGAGGAATTAAGGAATTAACCTATATGAAAAGTAAAAGTGGAAAATTAGAAACACAGTAAGACTCACATTCGTAGTGAAACACTTCTTTCCTGGGTGGTAGGAGATAATACTGGGATGGTGTGTTTGCAATTAATATATATGTGATTGGCATCGCTAATCATTACAAAATGAAAAATGTCCTCTTTGAACTGCAATCTAGTATTAATCTACTGAAACTTAGAACGTGTTAATAGTCTTTTTTGTCTCATTTTCCTTAGTTTTCTATAGGGCATGTACACTTGCCAGAGAGAAAGAGAGTGAGAAAAACACCCCACCAAGGGAATGACCAAACCACCATTCCTTCTCCATTCTCCTCTTGGGATTTTGAGCTTGTATACACACACCTGGTATGTTTTTCAAGTCACTGGGTCTGGAACTTTACCATGTAGTCAGTCACGTGGACTCAAGCTGCCTTAACCGCCATGCTACCAGCTAGTCCATTTGTTTTTGCCAGAGGTCACGCATGTTTGCCAGAGAGCAAAGAGAGAGCGCAGGCCCCAGTGGTACGCTGTCATGTACGATGCTTTTATCTCCATGATTCTGTAAGTCAGGATCTCAGATATGTGTGTGCACACCCACACACAGCTCCTGGCATGTTTTTTAGGCTGCTGTCACCCAGCTTTCTATGCATTCAATCATGGGGCTGGCCACATACACATGTTTAATAAAAACTGATTCCTCTTCTAGGAACGTTTACTCAGAAATACCTGCACTGGACTTTATCTACAAAAATACACACAAAGGACATTCCCAACAGCACTGTTTATACTGGAGATAACACAAAAGCCTGTGAGTAAGAAGATGGTTCAAAAAATGAGAAACATTAGATTCTGTATCATGGAACTGTACTTATGATCTACTGACAAAAAAAAAAAAGGAAAGCCATAAAATTGAGTACAGTTTGGTATTTTTTCCAAAACTGCGATCAAAACTTCCGAAAGGATCAAACAACTTGCCTGGAAACAGGTACTGCCACTTGCCTGCTGTCCGGCTTGGGGCCAGGGCCTGTTCTCCACCGAGAGGGAAAAACTAATGGAGCACTCGTGAGAGGCTGCAGGGCTGTGGACACAGGCCCTGGGCCACAGGAGGTGCTTGAAATAAACGCATGCTTCCTGAGTGTTAGAAGTTCTCAGGTGGTTCTTCTGCTTTCATGGGGACATACAACAAGACGCTGACAGAAAAGCACGTACACCCTGAAATAATTTCAGGCACCATATCTAAAATACAACTTTTTAAACAGTGTGATCACACAATCCTAACGAGATATCATTCACAACAATCTAACACTTTTGCCCATCCAGGCAGAAGAAGCCGGGCCTTCAGGAGAAGGTTCCACATGGCCCCAGTGAACTAGATTTTTAAGGGAATGAAGATTTTCTACTAATAATTCAGCCTCCAACAAACGAGCTAG